GATTAGAAACGTGCTAATTTCTTTTCTCATTTTACAGAGACTCACACCTGTGAGGCTGCATCTGCACTTGGACTCTCGAATGATATTAGAATCATTTAGACTTTAGAGAGTCTTGATCTTGGAAAAGGCACTTTGCATTATACAATGATCCTGAATCCTGAGGCAAGAGTTGAATGTTATGGTTGGGATTTCAATTGTCCTTCATGGGCTCATGATTTGAATACTTGGTTCCCAGCTCATGGTACTGTTTTTTTAGGACCTTTTGGATATGGGGTCTAGTTGGCAGAAACAGGCCTTTGAAGTTTATACCTGTTCTGGTTCTTGCCTTGCTGCTCATTTCCTGCTCCATCCTGCTGTGAGGGGCCTGTCATGTGCTCCTGTCTCCATGAACTCTGCCATGCCTTTCCCACCATGAAGAACTGAACCCCCTGAATCCATGAGACCACTTAAGTATTCCCTCCCTTAAGCTAGTTTAGTCAGATGAAATGGTCACAGCGACACAAAAGGAACTGATACAGGATAGAAATGATGCCAAAGCAATAGACAATACCTTAAATCTGTTTGCCAGGGTGACTCACACCAGCTCAATAGACCATGACAGCTCCTGAACATGCTCAAGCATATACTAGAGGCAGGGGATGGAAGCAGCTCCGACAGCGTGGTTACCAGGCAAAGCAGCAGTCCCAGGTGGTGTATCACTCAAAGAATAGGATATACTGGCAAAAGAAGGAATTTGTTTAGTTGATTCATTACCAAACTGTTCAGAGATGTCACAGTCTCTTCATCTGTCAGAGAACCCATGAACCCCCAAGGACAGTAAAGAACATCATCCCAAAGTAGCCAATGTTGTCCCTCAAACCCCTCTGGAGGGGGTGAGACAGAAAATGTAGAAACAGCGTTTTCTTATGGGGTGTTCTGAGGTTCCCCAAAGCACTGGATCTCTACAAATTTCGTGAGGTGCTAGATCTCTAGTCATCCCAACATGCTGTAGGCACCTCCCCTCAGCACAGCTGTCAGGTAAGTGGATGGAGGAGGCTTTGGGGAATCTAATGGGAACATCTATAGAGCATGACTGGATATTATGATGGCGTTTGTTTAAAGTTTAGATCCTTCAGCCATCAAAGAACACAGTCTTTGACATCTTTCAAATGTGGGGATAAAAAAGAGTCAGTACTGTTGATTTGATGAGTAAGTTATAGTCAACAGTCTGTCCCCTGGCTTCCTGCCCCCAGAGTCTAGAGAGTCTCTCTACATTATGCTAGGAAATCCCTCACATCTTAGCTACGTTTGAATTGACCACCTGTGGATCCAGATCTGTCTCACTCCACTGAACAAAGGATTTTTAATTGTCCCCGCTGTGACATTTTAAGCATGAGGGTAATTGCGTATAGCCTAATGCTGATTAGACTTATTTAAATTTACACTCTTCTAACTTCATACAGTTTGTAAAAGTCCCCTCTACACATGCTCTCTCTAATTCACTGATGTCAATTAGCTCGCTAAAATGGTTTCAGAACATCTGCCGCTCACAGAAGTTGGAGCAGAATGCAGTTGGAGGCAACTGGAGCACTGAGGTCTCTGACTGAGGTCTCCAAGTGTGAGGCAATTTCCTACTGCAAAGCAAGTCCCCAGCACACCTGGCTGGCCTTCAGACAGAAGGGGCTATTTTGGCTGATAGGGCAATAATACAGAGCTGTGGGTTTGGGTAAGACTTGAGTCGTCCCAATGCTCTCATAAATCCACATGGCCATCCCTGAAGTTCCACATTCTTAATCATTGCCTTTTTGTCAGCAAGGAAAGTGAAACCATGAAAGCTATAGATGCTCTCAATACAGACATCTGTGGAAACACAGAAGTAGCCATTGACAGGACTATGAGTTCTTGGCATAATATGGAAGACTGATGGCCTAGATTCATGAAGTAGGCAGGACACAAGGAAGGCAGGTGTCAGCAAGCCACTGGGGCTGCTCACTCAATACTGCCTCAGTCTTTGGCCCTTGTTATTACTGAGCTCTGCCTCTTTTGGAACGACTCCTCTGCACCACCTAGGTTTAATTAGGAGCACACGGTGGGACGAACTTAAGACGATTGCATTAGGTAACTTATGTGGCCCTCTCGGAGAGGCCACCACACAACTGTGTTGTCCGTCAAAGCATGTTTTGTTTGTGATATATATTTTAATCGGTAGACTTTGAGTAAATCCTACTACGCTCCATAGGTGGGTGGGTCTCCCGCACCAGCAATTAGACGCCTTAGGAGGAAAACCCTAGGGAAGGATGAGGTCAGCCTGCTGGCTGGAGATGACCCCATCTTCCTGTCACCTCCTGCTTTGCAAACATGAGACTTGTTCTCTCTACAGCTGTGTGAGTCACTTCTTAAAATCCCAGGTGGTGGCAGTGGTGGTGTGTAATCCCAGCACTCTGGAGACAGAGGCAGGTGGAGATCTGTGAGTTCAAGGCCAGTCTGGTCTACAGAGCTAGTTCCAAAGACAGCCAGGGTTACACAGAGAATCCCTGCCTCAAACTGCCTGCCAAAATCCTCGCTGCACAAATACACACACACTCACATTCATGCCCTATCAGGTCTGTTTGCTCTGGACAGCCATGGCTAACACGCTCACACAGCAATTCGCCACCACTGTCTTCTGTAACCAGATGCAGGATCCTGTCTCCACCTAGACTGAGCCAGTGAGGAAATGGCCCCTGGTCCAGTGGTTTTAACTCAGACTCAAGATATTTTGTACATTGAGGGAAAAGGATAGGCACCTAAACTTGAACCAGGGACCTATTGATCTATCAAATGCTTTACCTGAGTTGCACCCTTGCTTTAGTGAAGTCTCCCACTAGCACCTATCCATCCACGACACCACACCCAGACTACAATGTACTTAGACTCCATTGGCTGCTCGGAGGGCTCTGAGGACTGGAAAGTCTCTGTGCTGCAATCTGTTCTTTTCTCCCCACCTTACTTAGCTGCCAAGACCCCTCCATCTCGGGGTGTGGTGAGGGCACCTGCCTTTGGAAGGTGTACCCTGCTGTGATTTTTCCTCCCAGTCCACATGTGGTCGGGGCAGCAGCTGTTGGAGAAAGTCTATATGAACCACCTACACTGCCTGTTCTCTTAGAAACTGCACAACCTCGGGAGCTGCTCCTTACTCACACGAGCGTTCATTCCCAACACTCAGAGCTCCACAGGTCCTGCTCCCTGTCATCTAGGTTGCAGAAACAGACAGTAAAACATTTTTCTTGTTCTTCAGAGTTTTATCACAAATAGGAGACAAAGCCATGGACTAAAGTATTTCCACAGATATGGGAGGCTAAGCAGGACCCCCTGAGGGCTGCAAGTAAGAAGAACCCTGTAGGAGGTTAGGGTGAGCTGCCTGGGGGTGATAAGGAAGAGCTACCAGAGGGAGTGAGCTCCATGGTCACTAACCAAAGGACAGTTGTGCAACAGTGTGAGTACACGTGACCTGGATGGGTCTCATAACCTGCTCTTTGTTGGCTCCTACCAGAGGTAAGGACACAGACCAGGCCTGAGAAGAACTTAAAACACAAAAGGGTACAGTTCAGTGGGGCATTCTGGGAAGTGTAGGTAAGGTGACTCTCTGTTAATGACTACCTCAGGTATCTGTTCTATGGTATCCAAAACAGATTCAGGCAAGGGGGCACATGGATTTGAAGCAGTAACCTCTTGATCTGCAGTCAAATGCTCTATATACCCTTGAGCTATCCTCCCACCTTCCTGATTGTGTCTCATAGACATTCTAAACCTTCAGGACGACTCCCTGGATGTCACACCCCTGATACACTCACTTGCCAGTTCTAGACATTGTCAGCTTCTTTCTATGGGGCCCAGTTCTGAGCCACCTTGGCACAGCTGACTGCCATTTCCTCTGGACTGGTACCCACTTCCCTTCTGTGGTGGTCTGAATGAGAATGTCCCACAGGTCATATATTTGAATATTTGGTCCCCAGTTTGTGGGATCATTTGGCAAGGATTAGGACGTTCAGACTTGTTGGACCTTGTGTGTCACTGGGGCCCAGCCCATTGTGAGTGGGGCCACAGCTGGGCTGGTGATCCTGAGCGCTCTAGGAAGGCAGGCTGAGCTGGTCCGTTCATTCCCTGTCAACACAGACTCTTTAAAGCTATTTCTAAAACCTCTGTAATTTACATTCATCCTGTAACCCACATATACGCACGTACAATTATCGACATATTTACTACATGCTCTGTGATACGAGAGATAATATTAGTAATTAAGATTGCAATAAAAGAACAGATGTTCACCTCTGCCAGTCTACCAAAATAGATTGTTTTGAAAAAAAAAAAAAAAAAAAAAAAGAAGAAGAGAATGAAGAAGCAGTCTGAACGGGTCATGTGGAGCATCCCCCCCCCCCCACGGCCTCTACATCTACTCTTGCCTCCAGGTCCGCCCTCCCCACTTCTGTTTGAGCTCCTGTCCTGACTCCCCGATGACAAACAGTGATACAGCAGCATAAGCTAGGCAAGTCCTTTCCTCTCCAAGTTGTTTTGATCACGGTGTTTCAGCACAACATGGTAACCCTAACCAAGGCAGAAATTGGCACCAGGTTAGTGGGGTGTTGCTGTGACAGCCCTGACTGTTGATTTGGGGCAGACTGTAGAAGGACTTTGGAACTTTGTGCAAGAACAGCCATCTAGTGTTCAGAACTTTGTGAGCTGTTCTGTGGGAGCCTGGGAAAAAAAGAGTGTTGCTGTGAAAGGAACATCCAACCCCCAAAAGGGGTCACGGCCCACAGGTTGAGAACCACTGTTCTAGAGGGACTTCTGAGAGTTAAAGATTATCAAGGTTGATTGCTATTTTGAGTTGAGAATCGGTGGTTCTGGTCAGCTGGGCTAAATAAAGAATCAGCTGTGATTAACAAGCAACCACTGAAGTGAAACCTTTGCCCTGCTGGGAGTTGATCCTGGTCAGCTGGGACTGAGACTCTGGGGGAGGGGGGATAAGAGGAGAGCAGCAGCAGCGAGGTGAATTCTTTTGGGCAGTGTTTCCTCAGAGCCAGCACACAGAAGCAGTGTTCAGAGGTGGCCACGGCTGGACCTCACTCTGGAGAGCCGAGGAGAGGCTATGGTGAATGGGAAGAGCCAGGCACACCAGAGACCCCAGCCTTTTGGAGATGTCAGTACCATGGGACGACCACCAAGAACAGTAGCGGTGGGGGAGTGGAGCCAGCTGGAGCCCAGCAGACAAGCTGAGTGAGACGATCCTGACTGAGTCTCAGATATCGAGCAGTGAGCTATTCACACTGTTGTAGTTCTGTTTGGTTTTGTTCAGATTGCAACTGGGCCCTGGTTCGTCCCTTTGGAAGGAAGTATTTAGTTTATTTGTGATTGTTCAGGAGCCCATAGCTGGGAGACTCTAAACTTTTAAAAAAGAGATTTTGGAGTTTTACCAAGACTTTGGATTTTAAAAGAGAATGCATATTTTTAAATAAACATCTTTTAAAGTGTTTGAATGATTTTGTAACTTTTCAAATTTGTAAAATGTTTTATATTGTGATGTTCTTATTAATGTGTGATCTTGGGGGATGAACAAGAGAAGAAAGGTTGCTGCTTAATAGTGATGTGTTTTTGTGTCAAACTGACACGAGGTCAGTTGTGTTGTCTAGTTTTATGCCAATTTGACACAGCTAGATTCATAAAAGAGGAGGGACCTCAAATGAGAAAAGGCCTCCATAATATCTGTAGGGCTGTGGGGCATTTTTAAAAAATTAATGATTGATGTGGGAGGGCCCAACCCATTGTGTGTGGGGTCATCCTAGGCTGGTGGTCCTCGGTTCTATAAGAGAATAGGCTGAGCAAGCCTTTAAGCATCACCCTTCCGTGGCCTTCGCATTGACTTCCGCCTCCAGGTTCCTGCCCTGTTTGAGCTCTTGCCCCAGCTCCCTTCAATGATGGACTATGATGTGGAAGTGTGAGACAAACTCTCCCCAACTTGCTTGGCCATCATGTTTCATCATAGCAATAGTAACCTTGTTTCATGTCAAACTAGGGATATCGCCAGAGAACCCTGAAACAAGTTCCAGGCAAGAGCGGTGATCAGAGAGAGGCCTTTGTGGCGCACACCTTTAATCCCAGCACCCAGGAGGCAGAGGCAGGTGCATCTCTGTTTGAAGCCAGCCTGGTCTACATAAAGAGTTCTAGGTCAGCCAGGCATACATAGTGAGACCTGTCTAAAAATCAGAGGGGCGCACTGGAGCAATAAGGCTCTTGTTGCTCTTACAAAGGACCGAGGTTCCGTTCTCAGCCCCCACATGGCAGCTAACAGCCGATCTGACACCTTCTGTTCTCTGGCAGCCCTGCACACATGTGGTATACAGATGTACATGCTGACAAAACATCCAGATACATAAAATAAAAAGAATAAATCTCAAAGCGTTCAGTGCTGCCACGTCCGAGGCCGTGAGTCGCCGCTGCCACAGCTATGGTGTCAGTAATTAACACCGTGGACACCTCTCATGAGGACATGATTCATGATGCCCAGATGGACTATTATGGCACCCGCCTAGCAACCTGCTCCTCGGACAGGTCCGTCAAAATCTTTGATGTGCGAAACGGAGGGCAGATCCTCATTGCAGACCTCAGAGGACATGAAGGGTCAGTATGTCAGGTAGCCTGGGCCTACCCCATGTATGGCAACATCCTGGCTTCCTGTTCCTATGACTGGAAAGTCATTATCTGGAAGGAAGAAAACGGCACTTGGGAGAAGACTCATGAGCACTCGGGACACGACTCCTCGGTGAACTCTGTATGCTGGGCCACTCACGACTATGGCCTGATTTTGGCCTGTGGGAGCTCCAACAGGGCCATCTCCCTGCTGACCTATACAGGGGAAGGCCAGTGGGAAGTGAAGAAGATTAACAACGCTCACACGATCGGCTGTAACGCTGTCAGTTGGGCCCTTGTTGTTGTGCCTGGAAGCCTCATAGACCAACCATCAGGGCAGAAACCCAATTACATCAAGAAGTTTGCATCAGGTGGCTGTGACAACCTCATCAAGTTCTAGAGGGAGGAGGAAGACGGCCAGTGGAAGGAGGAACAGAAGGTAGAGGCACACAGTGACTGGGTTCGAGACGTTGCCTGGGCCCCGTCCATTGGCCTGCCTACCAGCACCATTGCCAGCTGCTCTCAGGACGGTCAAGTGTTTATTTGGACCTGCGATGATGCCTCAGGCAATATGTGGTCACCCAAAATCCTGCACAAGTTCAGTGATGTTGCATGGCACGTGAGCTGGTCCATCACAGCAAACATCCTGGCCGTGTCAGGTGGAGACAATAAGGTGACCTTATGGAAAGAGTCGGTGGATGGACAGTGGGTGTGCATCAGCGATGTCAACAAAGGCCAGGGTTCCGTGTCCGCCTCCATCACAGAGGGCCAACAGAATGAGCAGTGACAACACAGGCGGCCTGGTCTTCTTGTTTCCAGGACTGCCTATTCTAGAACAACATCCAAACAACTGGGAAGAAGGGTCCCAATGCTACCAAGATTCCACACCCAGGAGTGCCCACAGATGGAACACTGGGTGCTCACCTGCCTTACTGGGATTCCATGTTTGGTAACTTAATGTCCAGCTGAAAGTATTCATGTCAGGAACAAATGACTATTATTTTTAAATATTTTTGGCCATTTTTAACTATCTTTTGGTTCAAACTTTCAAAGCTAATAAAATCATATTACATAGAAAAAAAGAATAAATCTTAAAAAGTACGGTCTTTAAAGGAGTGCTGACCAGAGGGACTAGCAGTCAGAACACTGAATCAAAAGAGAGCATTGTCCCCTGGTGCCGTGGTTGGGGGTGGGAGCTCCCTTTGCCTGCTTTTGACGGGCTACTGGTGCGGTGCTGGTTGCTGGCCTATGCCAGCCAAAAACCCAGTTTAGGACTGGGGATACAACTTAGGGGTAGGGTGCCTTTCTAGGATGTGAAGTCTCCAGGCTCAATCCTCAGTACTATATAGGGAATCGTTGGAGAATTTTAAGTTTGTAGCACAGCAAGTAGCAGGTGAAGGTTCCCAGATCTGACCCAGTCGAGTTAAAACCCTTTTCCTGACAGGGGTTGCTCCTCAGCGCATTTCTCCTATCCTGTCAGTCACCTTTGTGCTTCTAAAGGATACCTAAAAGAGAGAGTGTAAAATAATGTATATTGACTCTGGTCCACATCTCAGAGGTTTCAGTCCATGGTCTGTGGTGAGATGGAGCACAGTGGTAGAGAGAGAGGATGTGAGGGGGGAGAGTGGTCCTCCTCACCACAGGCAGGAGCAGGGAAAGCCAGAAAGAGGCAGGACACAAGGAATAGCTTTCTAGTCCATGTCCCAATGGTCTACTCCCTCTCTGAAGCCCCATCTCCGAATGCCTAGCTTCATCAATAATACATAATAGTGTGACCCCACCAGTTGATTAACCATTGATGAAGTGAGACTTCTCATAATGGAGTCAGTTCCCGAAAGCCCCACCTTCGAACATTGCTGTGTTGGGTTTTTTTTTTAGAAGTTTTATTTCCTTTTTGTGCATGTAGATGTGTGCTTGTATGACTTTATGTGCATATGTAGGAAGTGCCCATGGAGGCCAGAACAGAGCATTGGATTCCCTGCGACTGGAGTTAGAGACCTGTTTGCCATCATGTGGGTGCTGGGACTGCACGCACATCTTTTGTGATAGTAAATGCTCTTAATCACTCAGCCATCGCTGCAGCCTCCAACACATGAGCCTTTCAGGAAATCACATCCAAACCATGGCACCAATGTTACTGCAGCAAAACATCTTAGACTGAACAGTAAGTCTTACTCATTGGTAGGCAAGGAAGACTGGCAATCCACCATCAGTTGCTTAGATACCCAATTTCCAGCCGTTACATTCCTGAGAGTTCTCTTACTAATCTGAACATCTGCTCCATCCACACATACTGAACCCAACAGATTTAAGCCTCTTCCTCTTCTAGTCAGCACTTGGTGGGTTTTGGGGGAAGGTGTGGGGACCATGGTTGAGGTAATTAGTCACCTTCACAACAATAACATCCAATTACTTGATACAAAGCGGAATCACATGCGTGCTAAGCATCACTTTCCTTCTCATAGTTCACCCCCGTGGACGCCATTCAGTAGGTCGAGGCTGTGCTTAGCTGGCTCTGCCTCAAGCTGCGGTCCATCTGCATTCCTCTTCTCTTTGGGCTATGGTTTTGGCCTGCTTCATGTTCATGAGGGGGGAGTGGCAGCTGGCAATGCCAGAAATGCAAGTGAGGAAGCCTGACTGGATGAACAGGTTTCCAGACTGCTGGGCACTCTCTACCATCCCAGGCTTGGACCGGGAAGTGTGTTCCACCTCTGATCAGAAGGTCTGGGCAGAAATAGTAGAGATCTGGGGCTCAGAGCTTATTTGCCACGCTCTCCTCTTGCCTAGGCCCACGTGCCCAACATGCTCACTGCCACTTACTGCTCCCAGCCCAGCTTCCAATCACAGCTCAGGATTTTGTGTTTCACATTAAATCCTATTGAGTTTGATAGTTAATCTCAGTTGTCAACCTGATGGAATGCAGAACCACTGTGGAAACAAATACTGGGCAAGTCTGTGAGGATTTCCTAGGTCCAATTAGTAAGCTAGGAACACCCACCCTAATGTGGGGGGGGGTGCCATGCCTAGGTCTAGGATCCTGAACTAAAGTAAAAGAGAAAGCTAACTGAACAGAAGTATCTAATTTTACTCTGACGGTGGACAGTAACTGAGCCACACATTCCGACTGTGATACCATCCCCACTAACAAATCTTTCTCTTAAGCTGCCTTTGTAAGTTCTTTTGTCCTAGCAACAAGAGAAGTAATACCCAAGGCTTCTTTGATTCATTTGATTCATGAACTCAATAGACAAGATTTTGGTTTCCCCTAAATTCCAAATCTGAGGACCTGTAGTACAGACTTTCAGTAGCACAGTTATATCCAAATACTGGGAAATGGTAGGAATGTACATGGCCTTAGAAACTGGCTATAAAAAACAACCAAACCGCAAATATACAGTTGGGAATATAGATACATTGGGAGAGTGCTTGACTAAAATGCATGAAGCCCTGAGTTGAAACCCCAGCACCACATAAGCCTGGTGAGGTAAGGAAGAAAGTAGAGACAAGAGGGTCAGAAGTTCAAGGGCATCCTTGGCTATACAGGACATCCTATGTCAAAGACAAAAAAAAAAAAAAGAAAGAAAGAAAGGAAGGCAGAAAGGAACAAAGAAAGAGGAAAAGAAGTTCTACTACAGGAAGAAGCACGTGTTTCTCTGTTACTGCCAGTTCCGTGTGTCCTCTTGTTCACGTCACTTTGCGCACTTCCAGCCTTTCACTTCTTAACACATGATAGACTAACCCCAAAGTAACAGAGCAAAGCATACCCCAGAATTAGAAATTTTCCTTTATTAGATCCTTGCTTTGCCACACAGGAGTGGTTCGCTCCATCATTCTACATGACTCTTGGCTCTGCCATCTTAAAACATTCCTTTCCCACCATCCTTTAAAATACCTGAAAATATCACTAGAAATACGTGATTTCTGATGGCCGCGAAGGTATCTTGCCTGTCTCTCAAGTGTGTAATGTCTCTGACACAGCAGTCCTTCTTATTTCCTTTGGAGCGGTTTGCTCACACTTCTGGAAATACAGCTTGAAGGGATGGAGAAAACACTAAGATACTGAGGTTGACTAGAAGGCAGTTTCTAGAGTCAGTTAGCTCGTGGTGGCTCTGAGTTAACACAGGACTTACCCTTCTGTGAATTCCCATAGCATAGAGTTAGGGGAGACACTGAAACAGCAGCCCCACCCTGTAAGAAGTAGACCATAGGGCACAGACTGGGCATACATCTTGTCCCAGCGCCTTCCTGTAGTCCTGTTTTCCAGCCACCATGATGTCAGCTGTTCTGCTCCGCACATGCTTTCCACCCCTGCCGTGAGAGCAGAAACCCTGTGATCATAAGCAGAACCCACCTTCCTCCTTTAAGATGCCGTCCTAGGGTATCTGGCACAGCAGCACCGAAGCCTGGCTAATACAGGCTCTCAGGAAACTCGTGGGCTGCTTATGAATTTGGTTCCATTCCCAATAGCTATCACCACACTCCTCTTTGATACTGCTTTTCCCTGGCTCAATTGCAAGTATTTGGGCACATCTGGTCCTTATGGGACTGCACCCTTCCTCTTCCGAGGAATACCTGTCCAGTGAGAAAATCTAGCTCCTGCCACCTTGGTGATGTCAGTAGTCTTGATAAAAAGCTTTTAAGTCACCCAGTTGTGTTGGTCCTTTAGCTGAGGTTGTGTCTATGGAAGGTGCCAAGTTTCCTTCCTCTTAAACTAATATGGGGATTTTGGACAGATCAATTTTATTTTCCTAGCTATGCAATTTCTGAGTAATCCATATCATCCTTGAATTCTGCTTATAAAGCAGTTCTCATCTGAACTCAGATTTTTTTTTTTGGAGACCCCTTGTCAAATGCAGCCTAGAACAAGTAACTCATGCACTGAGCCTTTTGCCCAACATCCCTTGCCTGCTCTGTTGTTGGAGGTAGCTCATTCTTTCCTGGCTGCCCAGACTCAAAACAATCACACAGAAACTATATCAATTAAATCACTGCTTGGCCTATTAGCTCTAGCTTCTTATTGGCTAGCTCTAATATCTTAAATTAACCCACTTCTATTCATCTGTCTATCACCACGTGGCTGTGGCTTACTGTCAAGTTTCTGGCACATCTGTCTCCGGCGGCTTCATGGCTTCTCCCTGACTCCGCCTATTCTCTCTCTATATATCTTCCAGCCTGGCTATATTCTGTTAACCCATTGGCCAAAAGCAGCTTCTTTATTCATTAACCAATAAAAACAACACATATACAGAAGGACTTCCCATACCACTGCTCTGCACCATCAAGGACACCCTCTGCTTTCCAGGCTTTCACAGGCTGCTGTCTTCCTGCTCTCAACATAGCTTCCTCCCCATTCCTGCAGCTGAAGGAACAGATTGCTTGCCATGCCCTGCTGCACAGGAAGTCGTGTATTTTGGGATTTGTCCCAGAAAGAACCCCTCCATCAACCCATTCCAGCATTTGGCAGTCTTATTCACAGTGATGTTGCATAACAAGCCATGGGGAAATCTGGTGTCACAAAATACACCCATCTGCCTTGGTGCCTGTGAGTCTGCAATTGGGATGTGAATAGAACAATCTAGACTGGGCTTTTTATTGACCAAAAAGCGTGACACGGAGAGAGGCTTGACAAAATGAGTTTGTTCAGAAACAGAAGAGAAATTAGAATCCAGGATACCCAGGGTCTGACAACCCACAGGCACACTCAGGCGAGCAAGAAAAGATGAGGTTGCATACACTGTTTGAAACAATTGTCCAATTATCAGAGACAAGGGTTGGTGATGAGGTGGTGCCTGCCCACAGCTTAACAGGTAGACACAGGACAGGCATCTGTAATTCCTGTGTAGTTTCTGGGTAAGGTTTCAGTGTGCTTTATACATGGTTGTGGATTCAGAAAGTCCTTGTCACACCTCTAGACATGGGTGTGTGTGTGTGTGTGTTTGTGTGTGTGTGTAGGTCATGAAACTAGAAAAGTGATTATGAGGGGGAGGAAATGATCTTAATGAAGGGGTGAATGGAGTAATGGGACACATAATGAGAAAGAAGGAGC